CTCTCTGCATTTTTATCTGGGCTTCTTTCTTTTGTGCTAATGGTTTTCATTCTAATACCAGTACATTTATTTTAAATTTTCTCAAAACCTTATAAATTGTTATCTATAAATTAAAAACACATGCACACATATACTAAAATATATATCTCTATCTGTCCTGCCTCCTTTTCAACTCCTATGTCCTCTCCAGCAGTCTATTTTTATCATGCATCAACTAGTACATATAATTTTAATATATATATATATATATATATATATATATATATATATATATAAATATATTACACTAAAGCACAAGCTAGCCATGTAGGCACTGGTGAAGATTCTATAGAGCAGACTTAAGAAACACATTTCTGTGATTTTCCCCAAATCCCTTTGGTTATCTTACCTTGAGTTTCTTCAGTACTCTACAAATGAGGAATCTGCAAACTTCTGTAAAGAAGTTAAATAGTAAATATTTTAAACTTTATAGCCCATTGCAACAACTCATCTCTACCATTTTAGTGAAATACAGAACAAATGTTCATTACTGTATTTCAATAAAACTTTATCTACAAAAATAAAGTGACTCCCAGATTTAGCCCATAAGCCATAGGTTACTGATCCTGCTCCAAAGTCTCCCCCTCCTACTGCACCCCATCCTTGCTGAGACCTCTCAGGAAAGTGCCTCTGAGGCTCAACTCCAATGTGCATTCTCCTTGAGTCAGCCTCTTCAGGGCTGAGAGCTCTCCCACCTCAAAAGGCATTTTTGTTACAGGTTTTGTTGCTTAAACACACCCTGCATGAGTAGGACTGTTGAGAGCCACAGCAAACTTCCAGCTCATTGGCTCACAGCAGCCCCAGCAAACTTCCAGCTGATTGGCTCACCTGGCCCCAAAAAACTTCCAGCTGCCAGCTGATTGGCTCCTCTGCGGTGATGCTCATTGGGCTGTTTCCCTGCCCTTTCAGACCACGGAGCTGCTCACTGGGGCACTCTTTGGGCTCCGCCCATGCGACCCAGCCAATTGGCCTCAAGAGCGGGAGGAGTGGGGTTTGAAAGGCTTGCTGGAAGCCGGTGGTGGCAGTTGAGCTCTGAGGGAATTCCTGAAGAGCTCCTGTGGTGCGGTGTGCGTTCTGAAAATAAAGTTTGTTTATGCTTGACAAGTGGCTCATGAATTGTGCCCATCCAGACTGCGGCATAGGACCTTCTCTCACATGCACCAATAGTTTTGTTTAAATATTTCTTTCGACCACATATGGTGATTGCCACAAGGGAACTATTGGTGCAAAAAATCATCCTCTTCTCATTCCAGATGCATCTTCATCTGCTTAAGCAACAGCATTTTTACAGCCCACAGCCATACTTGAGGTAAGAAAGCTGGTTCAGTAGAGGAATGGAAAAGGTGGTCTTCATACCAACATTGCCCAGCCACACAACCCTGGAAAGTGGCTGTACTGTGCCTTGGCTTCCTCATCTACACAACAGTGGGGTAGTCTACCTGCCCAAAGGCCAGAGTGTAGACAAGAAGATTTCTGGGAATAACTTTCTGAAATTTAGATAGGCTATTTCCCTAAGTCAGCGTTTTTCAAATGGTTTAGAATTCCCSGGATTCTTGTTAGAATTCCTGGACCTCGGTCTAAGATTCTATTCAGTAGTTGAAATAGGTCTTGAAGTTCCTTCAAGTTCCCAGGTGCTGCTCTTGCTGCTACTTCTGTGGATCCAGGGACCACACTTTGGGAATCACTGGTCTATATGATGGACATCTCACAGTCCACTGTATAGGGAAGCAACAAAAGAGGAGCCAGAGCTGGTTTTTCTGCAGTTTCTCAAAATGGGGTTCCCTCTTGAGGGGATGAGAGATCAGTTTGGTCTGTCCTCTGAGTGTCAGGCACTGGCACCATAGCTCAGCAACAGATGGAGGTGGGTGGTCAGTCTCACAAGGGCATCATGCTGGAACTTACAGGCTGGCAGGCAGCCAGGTAAGGCGTCTGGGGAAGGACAGGGAAGAGGGGGCCCGCTGAGAAGTGAGAGGTAAAAATGCCAGCACACAATTAATTCCTTTGTATCCACCCTTCTAGAACTTTCCCCTTCTGTAAACACTAAGTCAACACAAGCATTGACTAAAGGTTGGCCATTCATAGGTCTAGCACCACATCATGTGGAGTAGGATGCAAGGAATGGAAGAGGTAGATGGTTTGGACTGTTCTCGGGGACCCTCAGCCTGTAAGGAAGGCAAAACTCGTGTGTTCACAAAACTGACAGTCCTGTGYTGAGACAGGTACATAATGAGACCCTGAGGTGATGTGGCAGGGAGATAGTGGGTTCCAGAGGGTGTACCCGTGGGCTGGGCAGGTCCTCCTGGAGGAGGTGAAGCAGGCTCTCAAGAGTCTGGAAGGATCAAAGCACAGAAAAGTGAGCAAAGCATGCAAGGAAGTCGAGATGGGTCCGGGGATATTAACAGAGTGGCCTGGGAAGGAGCAGGGGGCACTCTCAACCTGCCTCTCTCTGTTCCTTTGTGAGCTCCCTCAAGTTACTCCCATTTCTGTGTCTCAGTTTCCTCATTTGAGAGCTGCAGTATTTAGGTTAAGTCCCAAATTTCCAAATTCCATTCATCTTGGAGAGACTCCAGGCCAGAAGAGGGTGAATGGGCAGACTGGGCTCAGCCTCCTACAGCCACAGCAGTTCTGCTTTCTTATATTTTTACCCTCCCTGCACGGTTTTGCTTCCAGAAAGGGTTAGACAATCACTCAACAAGAAACTCTGTCAATACTCCTTTCATTTGCACACCAGGTGGATTGAGCAGAAGAGGGAAAAGAGCCAGTGAGTAATGGGGATGGACTGCCAGGTTAGCTGGGCCGGTTTCTAGAACAGAAAGGAGTTTAGAATAGTGGGGACAGGGAATAGGGAGCCATAGAAGGTTTGTGAGGGGAGGAGTGCCACAACAGGAACAAAATCAGGCCCAGAAACCACCAGAGACTGATCTGAAAATCTCAACTGTTCAGAAGGTTTTGAGTAAAAACAATGTGTGATTTTCCCCCTTGTCAGCCTTCCCCCAGGACACGGTACTGTATGCAAAATGGGTAACTGTAAGACGAACATATTTTTCCACTGCCCTTCTCAGCCCCACRGGTCTTCAGGAAGACCTGAGCTTCAAGCAAAGCCTCTTTAGTTTTCAACACCCACAGCTTCCATTCAACAATCACAAGTTTTCCACTTTGATCAAAGAGGCTGAACAGAGAGGGCCACAGGAGCRGCCTGTTCTCAGCAGCCCAGAGCAGACCACAAAAGCCCAGCTACCCACTCACTGTCTGTACCTACCGGAGGACACAGCCTTCCCCGCAGACCAACCAGGTACACACCCCCAAAACACTGGCCCGTCTCATTCCCACCTCAGCTATCTCATGAATGTGCCCAGGCGCGTCTTCCAGGCCAGCATGGGCTCCAGGGCCTCTGCTTTCCTGACTGTGAAGTGGGCCTACCGCTGATCGCTCTGATCAGGCCACGGAAGCACTTCAGCTGGTCACCTCTTAATCCCTCTTCCATCTCTGAGATTATTCTCGAGGAAGAATATCCACACCAGCTCCAAAGTCCAAACTGACTCGGGTGTTCAGAGGTTAGGACTCTAAGCAAGGGTGCCCAGGGCCTTTGCTGAGGGGGTCCTGGGATGTCCTCGGACTCTCAGAGATAGACGGCCACCAAAGACGGAGCAGAAAGGGCAGAGGCGCTACAGGGAGAATGGGCTACCTCCAGGCCCGTGGCAAAAAAAAAAAAAAAAAAAAAAACGACTTTCCAAAAAGCCACATCTGGAAGAGCTAGCATCTTAAATCAGTTCATATTAACGTTTTAACTGGCACGCTGAAACGCAGATCATTAGTACCCACAGCTGTGACACACTGTGGCCCAGGGAGTCTATCTATCATCTCTGAATTCCAGACTTGGCCCGGGGGGACCACTGGAGCTGTTTAACAGGAATTGTTGGACCATCTGCCAAGCCTGTTCCCATTCATGAAGCTCTTACATCATCTCGCTTGGTCTTGGAGATGACCATACTGCAGGGGGGAAAGGAAGGACGGGGACCCTAGTGACTTACACAAGGACACAAAGCTAAAAAGAGGAGGAGCTGAGACTGGACCTCAGGTCTTCAGCCTTCAGGTGGAGTGGAGCTCGAGTGAAGGGTGCAGGCCTTGGGGCCAGGCAGGCTGGGCCAGGCAGCCCAATTCTTTCCRAGATTAGCATTTCAGACTTTGAGAAAGTTTACACCCTTGCTGAGCCTCAGTTTTTCCCATCTATAAAGAAGGAATATTACCTGAATCACAGGGCAAAGGTGCAGGTGGAGTGAGGCCACTTGTAACACTCTTGGGACTGTGCCTGGGACAGGAGGTTCAATTCCAGTAGACACACACACACACACACACACACGCACACAAAGTGCACAACACACTCCAGACACATCATGGCAAACCACAAATACACACACACCCCATAGAGCACCCCCCCATTCTGTACCCTCCTTCCCTCCTCACCCTCCTCACTAATTCCTTCCCCTTTCTGTGAGTTGTAGGACAGTTCACAAAACAATTTCATCTGCAAGTTTAAAGATCCCCTAACACCCTGAGAAAGTTTCTGCTCAAAAATTCCATGTTTCCGGATTCTCATTCTCTTGCCATATCTTTGACCCTGACTCCAAATTTCAGGCTGCCTTGAGTTTGTGCCCTTTTGGATAAATCTCTATGTTGGTGGGCTTTTTCCTTCCCACATAACCRGTAGCCTTTCCAGTTTTCAGCAGTAGCAGATATTATCACACCGGACCCTACGAGTCCCTCTACTGCAGCCCGAGGAATGCAGCCCCCCGGGACCCGGCAAAGAAACTTCATCTGCAGGGGCTTCTGAGCCGAAAATCATGTGCAGCCAGCCGCCCCAGCAGGAAGGCGTTTGTGGCTGGGTCTAAATGAAACAGAAGTCACTTCATCACACACACACACACACACACACACACACACACACACACACACACACGGGGAACCGTCATTTTCCTACGCACCCTCTGACATCAGCCACCTTCTCTGTAGCTACAGTTTTCTCTGCACTCAAATTAATCTGGGCGATGAAAAATGAACCTCTCCCCCACCCTAGCTGCCGCCTTTCGCCTCACGCCCCCAGAGAAGAGTTTCTCCGCCAGGAAGCCGGTGAAGGTTTTTTTCCAAGTCACATGATCCAGGATGCAGGGGGAGAATCCTTCTTGGAACAGAGATGGGCCCAGAACCGGATCAGATGAGGAGAGATAAGGTGTGATGCGGGGCAGCCTATATAAAGAATGGACCCAGGGCTGCAGCGAGCACGCAGCCCCGGAGCCCCTGGCCCAGACCCAGCCATGCATGTGCCGCCAGAACCCGTGGCCAGCCACTTGGGAACCACGACCCGCAACTACTTCTGCTTCACCACCGCCACGCTGGCTCTGTGTCTCATCTTCACTGTGGCCACCATCATGGTGCTGGTGGTTCAGAGGACGGTGAGTGGACGGTCTTCCTTGCTTTACCTTCTTGATTGAAGCTCAGCTTCCCCCTCACCCAGGAAAAAAAAAAAAAAAAAGAACTCTGGGAGCAAACTGATACCTTAGTCGGGAACAAAAAGTTTGAAAGAAAAATAAATCAAAGTAGCTATGGGTTATGTCGGGCCACAAAACGGGAGAAAAGAAACAGGAACTTAGCTCCCTGAAATAATTTGGATTTTTGAGAGAAACTTTATTGGACCATCATCTCAAAACTTTCCAGATCCACATGAGCCAAAAGAGTGGAAAGAGCTATTGGCCTTGAGAAATTAGCATTTAAATCCTGCTGAGCCAGAAATCCATGGGACCAAGGAAGGAAGGAAGCAGCAGGCAGTCGGGAACCCTGGTCTAGAACATTCGCCTGGCTTGGTACTCGGTGATTCCAAGGTTCAGTCTTTTCAGCTGAAATGTTCCTGAGGTTTCTGAGACCTCATCCATTGCCCAGGTGATTTTGTTGTTGTTGTTTTTATTTGTTTGTTAACAAGGAGCTAAATGTAGAGGTCAAGTTCTAGAAGGAAGGCAGACAAGCCAGAGAGCTGAGCTGCTGAGCGTGTTGGGCATTTCAGCGTTAAAACCACAGAACAAATCGAAAGCTTCCTTGTAAGCCGCTGCTTTGAGGAGCGGAGGGTGTGATAAGAAACAGCAGAGAAGCAGGAGAAATGTTTTTAATACCTGTTCCCCTGAGATGCCCCAGCACACGCTGTGCAGGGTCCAAGTGCCTCGGGAGATTTACTTTGTTTGCAGTAAGTGGTGAAAGATCTGTTCTTGAAAGTGGAAGGGATAAAGGAGAAAGCTCCTTTACACTTTAGAAATTTGATATCAACTGAGCATCCATTAGTACGTAGCGTACAGAAAATACCACACTGATGGAGGATGTGGCTCACCAATTTTTAAGATTTTGTGTACTTGGGTAGTGTAAGAACTGTACCCACACACATGACATCCTGCCAAAGTGAAACCGTGTCTGCGACTCCACGACTCCCGCTGTAATGCAAACGTCCAGAATTTGTTCTGGTTTTCCTTCAGCCGTCTCAGGCCAGATGCCCTGTAACTTATCAGTTGCTAAAAGGAACTGGGCTTCAAAAGGCTTTGCCACTTGTTAGTTCTCAAGTGTTACCAAGCTTGGAGATTTAAGTGAAGCTTTGAAGCTCAGATCTCCATAAAAGTGGGAAGAAGGGGATCACTCTGTTTGATTTGGATGGTGGAGTTTGTAAAACTCATCATTTAAGGGGTTTGTTGGCACCAACTAAGAGAAACACTCTTAAAAACATCCTTGGCATTGACTCTACCATTTTGTGCTATTATAATTTGGAATAAACCAGACATGTGTTGTTTTATAGCAATGGCCAGGGAAAAGAAATTGAAGTGGGCCGGAAGAAGTTCCTTAGGTAAAGATGCTGGTAGAGCTGTTGGGGTATGGGAGGTGGAGATGGTGGGATGCAGGTGGCAGTGGTGATATGTGAAGCCAGAAAGCTCCAGAATATTCTTCATACAAAGCCAACTTGGAGCCATATTGGTTCCTTCTATGAAATGGATGGATCCATTCCTTCTATGGAATGGATCGTTCTGCCTATTTAAAAAAAAAATCCAAAATATGGGGAACCGAGAGGGGACAGGGCTTGAGCAGAGCCACCTGAGAGAGCAGTAGAGTCCACGGCTTGTGCTGTGTGAGAAGTGGACAGCCAAAGTACTGAAAAGCTTCTGTCACCCTCTTCTCTTGGGGACTTCTTTTGCTTGCAGACCTATTTCTTTGGCTTACCCTTCATGTTCGGGTATGAGAAGGTGTGCTTTGGAATCTGATTCTACGCTGTGATTTCCTAACTCTGAAACCTCAGTTACTGGCTTCTGAGTCAAGGACTATAATACAGTAGCTGTAATACTGAGTGTTGGATGCCTTACACACGTCATTTCCAATAAACCTCTCAGACATTACCTGTGAGGAGAGCTAGGAAAGCATGACTCCCACGAACCTGAGTGACCAGGGAGGCATCCATAGCAAGAGGGAATGAGGGCTGACTTTAGAACCGGTGGAACTTAGATGAGTGAGAGGCTCAACAGGACCTCTGGGGAAGAAGGCAAAGGAGAAACCTGGGGAGCTCAGATCCCCAGTCCTGTTCCTAACAGAGGAAGAAGTTGGTGGCCACAAAGCACTTTCTAAGTAGGTTGGGGACACCAGAATAAAAGCATGAGGATGGCTTTATTGCCATAAGAAATCACAATTCTAGGTCAAAGGGCACATATATGGACCATATTCAGAACAGCTAAGTCATAACATGTAACAAAGCAGGACACAGGTTACCGTAAGACCCCAGGTTAAGGAGAGAGGGCATTTAAGGAAAACCTCGCTGGACATGGGAGTTCCAGATCCACTTGAGAAATGAACAATTTCAAATGGGTGGAGAAAAGAGATCTGAGGACAAACTGCTCCCGGCCAGCGGCAGTGGGTGAGCAAAGGACTGGAGGAGAGAGGTTGTTACAGGGCAGGGGGACATGGCGTGGCTTGAAAGAGCTCATAAGTTTAAGGTCAAACTCCATGGGAGAGACAAAGGAGGAATTTAATTTCAATCACCAATATTTATTGAGCATCTATTCTGTATGGGACACTTTTCTAAGCACTGAATATATAGTCTTGAACAAAACCAACAAAATCCTGCTTTTGCATTGTTTATCAAACTTTCTTTCTAGTGAAGTCTTTAAAATGTCTGTGATTTGCACTTTTCTTTACATATACCAGTACATTTATTACAAAATATTGCATTTGCCTCATTTAAGAAAAGTAACCAACAAATAAGGGGAAAGAAAAAAAAAGTATAAAAGTCTCTGACACCCTCCCAAACCAACCACCCACCCCTTTTTTGCTAGATAACCACCATGAACAGATTCTTATGTGTTCTTCCAAACATCTGAGCATCTACACACGTTATTATAATAAACCGTTGATGCTGTAGCCCACCTTGTACACTTGGCAATGTATCTTAGGGAACTTTCCACATCAATATGCAGAAGTCCATTTCAATCTGCTCAAAGAGTCACGCAGTATTGTCTTGTACCAATACCTCATAATTTATTTTATCTGCATCTCTTGAGAGACACTTGTCTTTTTTCCTCTAGAATATTTTTGCCCTCTGTGCACACCTACATCTGTTCAATGAATCCCTAGAGGTGGGAATAGAACATGTATTTTCACTTCAATAAATGTTTTCCATCAGCCTCCACAGAAATTGTCCCCGTAGGCTCCCGAGGAAATAGAAGTCTACCACCCAAGAGGCACCTCCTGACATCAATATGGAAAGAAAGAAAATTGACTGATGGGCTGGGGCTGGGGCTCAGTGGTAGAGCACTCGCCTAGCATGTGTGAGGCCCTGGGTTCAATACCCAGCACCACATGATAATAAATAAAATAAAGGTATTGTGTTCAACTACAACTAAAAAATAAATAGTAAGAAAATTGATTGATTACTGAGGAAGCCCAAGTGAACACGCAGACAGGGAAGCTGGAAAAGACTGGAGAGTCTAGATGAGATGTTCACATGATTTGTACAGAAAAGCAAAAGAAAAAAAGCATCAAATTTCTCTTCTCTCCTCAAGAGCCAATGGAATCCCATGAGATAGGTTCCTAGATTACAGCAGAGGGAGGTACGTACATTTCAGAGTGCCTTGAGACCCTGGACCTGAGGGTTGCCTCTGCTCCCTAAACCAGGAGACAGGACTAGTCCAGCCCGGGGGGGGGGGGGGGGGGGGGATGTAAATGGCCACATTCCAAATGGTAGAGCAAGGACATAGGACGGTTGGATTTTTAAGTACTGTAGACAATTTCTAGAAAGAGAAAGCAGTGGCCTCATTTCTCTTTATAAGCAAATATATATACATATTTTTTTGAAAGAAAAATGTAACCTCCCAGTTCCCCCCATCATCCACCAAGAGGGAGGCAGAGCACCTGTTCAAGGGTAGCGAATGCCGGCAGCCAGGGTGTGGTTTGGGGAGTTGTTTTTAGACTCAGGAGTAATGCAGAGGTGAGCTGAACCCTCCCCACACGGGGATGCTTCCCTTTACCTAATAACTTTCATCTGATATCCTATTCCACTTAAGAATAAAAACACAACATCCTCTGAAATGGTTGTAAGGAGCAACCCAGAAGCCGGGCTGGAGGGAAGGAGCCCTCTGGACACAGCAGCACCCTGATTTCTGGGAGCTTTCTGCTAAACTAAGGAAACGAAGCCCAGGAATTTGAGTTCCAGACCCACCAGTAGAGAGGGAGATAATTTCTGTTCAGGATTCGGGAGGTGTTTGTAGGAGAACTGAACAAGAAGCCAAGCCTCTGAGAATTAGATCGTGTCTTATGCCCCAAGTCCTATTTTGAAAACTCTCACGCAGATTGGCCAAGTGTCAGTGCTTTGTCACATCTGTGCTATTTAAGTATATGAAAGTAAGTTACAGACAGTGTGACCTCTCCCTTCCCCGAGCTCCAGTACCCATCTGCCACTTACCAGTGTCATGACCACTGTCGGAGAGCTCATGGCAATTCACGGATACAGTTCATGTTTACATTTCCTCTCTTGTCCAAAAACCTCATCTATAGCTCTTTTGTTTAATTTTATTTGGGGACCTAGCATTCATTCTGGGGTCACATTGTGTTGTCAGCTAGAAGGTTGCTGTTTAATGAGTGGTCCTAGGTGTTTGTTGAAAACATAGACTCTCAGGCCCCACCCAGAGCTACTGAATCAAAATCTGAATTTAAAATGTTCCCCAGATGATGCTGTACACCATCATCATGCCCTTTCTTGTTTGTTTTTCATGACACTGATTTTTTTGAAGGGCCCAGGTGAATTTTGTTATAGAACAGTAGATGTTCAGGATTTGTCTGGAATATGAAATATTTCGGCAAGACTAGTATTTAGGTAATGTTGCGTGCTTTTTACTGTACCGCGGCTAGAAGCCTAGGTCCCACATTTGGATGCCCCATTTTTGGTGATGAAGGTGGTAGACACCAGTCATCTCATTTGTAAAACATTTTTTTCTTCTTTATTAATAATCTATGGAGTAATGCTTTGAAGACACAAACGTTCTTCACTTGACAATTGTGTCATTTCTTGATGTCACTTGTCTGAGTCTCTTCATGGGCTGAGGGTGCAGAAGGATGCCCAATTCTCCTTCCTTCCACCTTCTTCTGTAAAGTGGAGCTCTCCATGGGCAGGATGCTGGCAGGCGTAGTGGGCAGGCGTATTCTAGATGGGACCAGTGAACAGAGGCACAGCCCAAAGGCAGGCAAAACTGGGTATGAAGAGAGGATTGACGGGGCCAGAACCAGGGTTAGTCCACTCTCAACAGGGAAGCAGCAAGAGATAGAGTAGATGGCAAAAAGCAAATAATAAAATAACTTTAACAAAATTAAAAGTAATGATAGAAGATACCGAGAGGCCAGCCTGGCAGCTCCAACCTCAGACGAGCAAGATTTCCTAGACCCATATCTCAACCCCAATCCAGCTCCATCTCCTATGGTCATCTCTCAAGACCACAAGTGTTCTCGCTGCCCATGGAGTAAGGTCTTCGAGCCCTTGCTACTCCAGGTGTGGTCCATGCCCCTCCAACATTGTCATTACCTGGAAACTCACAGGAACGTCAAAACCAAAGGCCCCATCTAGATCTACTGAACCAGAATCCCCAGATGATGGTAAATCCTTGCAAGTGGGAGATGCACTTTTAGCACATTCTGGCCCAATCCCCACTTTCACAGACCATGGAAAACCAGGGACTCTCAAGAAAAATACCCCATCCCTGGGGATTTGATATGATCTCCATTCACTTTCCCTTTGGATCTTGGAAGCTGTATCCTGCCCTATGATGCAGAGAAGTACCCTCAAAATAACATATCTGACTTTGGGTCCATCCTCTGCTATTTATCACCTGTTGGACCTTTTGTTATCATAAAGTCTCTTCTGTAAGTTATAGTCAACCCCTAACTCTTGGGGTCAAGGTCAAGGGCAAACAAGATAATGCGTTCTTTCTTAGGAGTGGCCCCCTTAAGTGCTTATTCATGTCAGCTTGAAAATGATAGTGATCCTCATGGACCATGAGCCAGAGCCCACCTTAGGAGGCAGTGCGAGGCCAGAAGGAAGGGGATATGGAATCCCCCTTGTCATATTCCAAACATTAGTTGTCTTTGGTCATTTTCAGTCACAGAGGATATTCTGTGTCAAAAGCAAAATTAGGAGCTGATTACACCCATACATCATTGCTCTGTGCAAAGAAATGGGCCTTCTAAGTATTTAGAAAAATTAAGCACCTCAAAAGGCCGTCCCCAAAATAGCCACCACTTTTCAGCAGTTGTTAACACTTGATGTACAACATCTCACTCCATCTGCCACGATCCACTGGAGGGAAGGATTACAAGGCACTCTAGCAGAGACAATGGCTGGGAAGGGGGTCATTTCGCCTGGGGACTAACAGGCTCAACATGACCATTCTTCCCTCCATACACACAGAGATCTTAAGTTTTGCTGGGACACCCATGAGACTTCCACAGAGGCTGAAAAAAAATAAAAAATAAAAAGAGGAAGTCTGCTCAAGGCAGCGTAGCAGGTTGGTAACCATGGAGATGGAGTTTCCCGAGCTGTTCAAAGGAGCTGAAAATGACAACCGGCAAGGGTTCATTTGGTTATACCTGGGTCAGACCTGTCTTACTCAAAACCGTGTCACTGGTCTGGACAAGATGGCATTTCCTCAGCCAGGGTCCAAATCCCTAGGAAAGATTTGGGAGAACACAAGGGACACCTTGCCAACGAGGAGGGCATGGACAGCACTCAGCATGGTACCTTGGGCAGAAACAGCTTCAACAAACATCAACATTCACCACCTCTTTAGACCCCGTCTCCACCTTGAATGTGAGGCAGAGTGCTTGTGCAAGGGGAGAACAGGGAGCATTGAACATCCCTGTGGTTGGTTTCTGAGGACAGCATCTCTCCTGGGGCAGTAGAAGGTACAGGGGAGAATTTCAGGGCAGGATCTGCCTCTGACTCCTGAGCGCTTCGGCCTCCTCCCCTGCAAATCAGCTGGATGGGCTAAGATGTCTAGGTTCCTCTGTGGCTTTGATTCCCTAATCTTGTCTCCCACAGGCGGCCAGGGGAGCTGTAGAGATCTTGTGCTGTTCAAAACAGAGAGTCCCACTTGTGTCTTGGGTTCCCCTGGCCCTGAAGGTTTAAGCAACAGGACCCTCTGTCACACCAAGTTGCCTTGCCTTTGACATTTGCCCATCTGAAGTTAGGCAGCCAGGAAGCCTTCAGATGTCAGAGAAGCAGGCCCTTCCCTGATGCCTCCCTCCTGATCAGCCCTCCTGCTGACATTACCTCTTACAGCCTTGCTGCTCCAACTGTGTTTCATGGGCTAGAAGTGTGGGCATCACCTGGGAGCTTGTCACAAATACGGAATCCCGAGCTCTACCCAAACCTGCTGAACTAGAATTTGCCTTTTAACAAGATCCCAGGGTGATGTGTGCACACATTAAAGTTTGAGAAGCAGTGTCGTTAAGCACTCTGATTTTCTCTTCCATAGCTCTTGCCACCGAGTTGTCTTTCTAATTATATATCTGTGTATCTTAAATGACTGCTTTAATGATTATATCCATAGCGTGTCCTTGGATGACTAACAGCACGTTCCACTGGCCAGGTGCTCACCCAGTGTGTGTTGAATGGATGACTCTCTAGCACTCCCCCGCTGGGATGGCTCTGTTGGTTTTGCTCTTCTAACATTCTCTCCTTGACCCTGGATAGGCCCTGGGTGGCTGATGAAGTCAACCATGTTAGCGCCACATTTACATGTAAATGTTTTTCTTCGTTCATTTGCATATCATACTAACCCACAGGCCTGCTTGGAAGTAAGTTAATTGTGTATCAAACTTTGAAATGGTGGTTGTTTTGTCACAGAGGCAACACCAAGGGGAATTTTGTTATGTCAGGTTTTCCTACACTGCATACGTAATTGAGCGACCACAAACAAAAAGCATTCTTAGTTCAATTAAGAACTTTCAACTAAGGCAAAAAAAAAAAAATAAAAAAGGCATAGAATATTTCAATGGAGACYGAAGAAACTTCCAGACCAAGTTCACCTCCTTTCTGCTGAGAAACTGAGTCACAAAGGTTCAGACTGACTTTCTCCATCCCCAGATCAGTGAGATGCCCAGGCTGTGACTACTAGACACATCCTTGACTCAGCACCGCTAGAGTGGGGGAAAAGAGATCCATTTGCCATAGAACTAGGTGTCCACGGAAGGCAAATGACTGCATTCCTGAGACATGGTGGCATAAAACACCCTAGACACTTGTACAGCTGCTAAAGTCTTGCTTTGGTAGAATTTAGGAAGTTGTCCCCCCCAGTGTTGTTCTCTCTTTCCTTCTGTAGGTCTTTATTAATATTTCAGTTCAATGCACTGCAGGAGATTTCAACCCATGCAGGTGTAAAATGAACAGGATACTTCAGTCCTTTCTGCAAAATCCTAAGGGATGTCTCCATGGCTGACAGGGGAAGAAGCGAGGCAGTACAGGGGAAAGTCTCTGAGATGTTCACTGGGGGAGAACGGTGCCTGTCCACTTCTCTGGACTATTAGCTCAGAGCACCTGAACTACGTCTCTCTTTAGCCCCAGCCCAGGGCCCCCTCCTTCAGCAATCTGCTTCCACAAACCTCTTACTTATGTAAACATTTACATATGTTTATATTTGTTAAATAGTGAATAATATATATTTGAATGCATGTATAATACAAAGTTGTATTTATTTCATATATTTATAAATATTGGTATGTTATAGTAGGACATAAACTTGTAATAAATCCATGAGGGCAGGGACCCGGTTTAATCACAGTGTGTTCCCGATGCTTGGCGTATAAACACTCAATTAATTCAAACTTTCCAACCACAAGAGAGAAAGAAATGTGCCTTCCAGGTTTGTTTATAGCATAATTTCACAAATGAATCAAACATGGGAAATAACCACATATTTATACAATTCTCTTGATTGTTCTTATGTTAACCATGGGAAAAAAAATTAGTACACGGGGGTGGGTGAGAGCGCTGGACTGACAGGCGAGAGTTCCAACCGCGGCTCCTGAGCCCTGCAATCGTACTGGGTGGCCCTGAGCCAGCCACTCTGTGTCACCTGTTCTGTCCCACGCTTCTAGCCTAGGAAGTGTGGATAGCAGTCCTTGTCTTGCCTTTCTGACAGGCAGATGGTTAAGCAAATGGTAAGAAGCCTGTTGTAAACTAAGTCAGCAGGTCAATTTTTAAAATGGAAGAGTCAGACAGTGGAGTTCTAATTTGCACGGCACTTTGACAACCACCAAAATGGAAAAGACAACAACAAATGGTTTCAACTGAATGTTGTTCTCATCCTGCACTTTCCTTTCTTCTCTTTCAGGACTCCATTCCCAGCCCGCCTGACAACTTCCCTCTCAAAGGAGGTAAGAGCTTGGCATTAGGAGTGAGACTGTCGCAAATCGTCCAGACGCCACCATAAGGTGCCATCACCCAGCAGAAAGGCTAGGATGGTGCCCACAGGAGAGAGGGTGGGGGTGGGTGGGGCAGCTCAGGGTTGAGCTGGTGCACCTCGATCACCCCCAGGCGGCCCCATCAAGGGTCTCATCCATGCAAGCTCCCACCAGCCCGCCACATTCCCACTAGTGAAAACTCTGCAACTGGCATAGGCCACGGCACAGATGCCAATAGGTTATACAAAGCAGTACTGTGTCTCCAGCTTGAAACTTACCTTGTGCAAATGGGGGTGTGAATCTCAGTCCTCCGGGGAGCCTCAGCTTCTGGTCTCTCRTATGGAAGTAATAGCACTCATGTCACTGAGGTGCTGGAGAAGCCAATCAGACCCATAAATTGCATAGCACAGCCACCAGYACCAATAACCCTTAAATAACTGGTCATGGCCAAAATGCATAATGAAGTGGAGGATTTGTGTAAATAGACTTTCTCTTCACTCTCTTTTCATTTCCAATCACTGGAGTTACTGCCTCTATCAGCCCTAGAGGGGCAACATGTAGACTTCAGTTAACCCTGAGGATGAAAAGCCTTGAGATCATCTGACTAAGGATTTCACTGCTCAGAGGAGGAAAAGTAAGCCCTGGAGAGGGGAAGTGAAGTGTCCCTAACCCACATGTCCATCCTGTAACCTTAGAACTGGATCGCAAGCACAGCTACATAACCAGAGAAAAAGGAAGAGAGAAAGGAGTGAAGTCATCATAGACACCAGGATAGGGGCCTGGGGACCGAGGACACAGATGACCTGACCCAGCTCCTCACGCCACAGTATCACACTTGGAATTTCCTTCAGGATACCCTTGACCTTGTCTTTCACCTAGAGATTTAGAAAGTAGGGGCAAAGGGTCCCAGCAGACCAGCATTCTGGATCTGCAGGCATATGAGCAATTACAGCTTTGTGAACAATGTCTCGGTCTTGGCCACAATCACTTAGCATGAGGTTCCAATTCCCAAAATACCTGTAAATCAATGTAAAAAGGAGCAAGGCAAAGGCAGAGGGAAGAAAGCTTTTTTTTTTTTTTTTTTTTTTTTTTTTTATAAAGGTACACCTAGTAACCTTTTTAGTTTTTATGAGTCTCACCATCTCTGCACTTAGCTCTGTGGTTCCAGTAATGAAGCAGTCAGACTGACAGGCAAATGGCCTGGCACTCCCTAAAACATGTTTACATAATGAGGTGACGAGCTGGATTTGGCCCACGGAGCGGAGTTTGCTCACCCCTGTAGTGGAAACAGTGCAGGATTTGGAGTGAAAAGCCTCCATTAAATTGTAGCCCATGTTCCTGTGGAGATTTGCAAAGAAAGAAATACACTAAGCATGTGTAATCCCCACACCCTGCCCCCGTTCCACCACCACCTCCACCTCCACCCAGATTTTCCAAGCAAAACTGGAACTTTCTATTTTTGAGAGGAAGTAGAGATCTTTAAGATGGACATGGTCTCAAGGACATGGGCAGTTTTGATCAGCAGTAAGCCTCAGCCATTCCACCACTCAGTTCCCTTACATGTGGACGCTCCAATCACAGCCTTCCAAACCAGGAACCCTGACCAGTGGTTCTGGCCCCATGAGTTTGCCTTAGTCCCCAGGAGAATGGGAAAAAGAAGGACCATTAGCCCCTTCTTGCATGGCCAGTGACATTTAATGAAGGGCACATTTCCTCTGAGAATAAGTCCTTTTCACTTTTTTTGATGTTCAAAATCCTTTCATTTACAAACACAAGTTCATACAGGTGCAAGTTAACTTGGTTTGTTTTCTGTCAATCATTTGTTTTGCTTTAATGATCATAATAGGCAAAATTTTTTAAAAGCTTCCTGCTTCACATTGGTCTCTGGATTTTCATTTGTGGACGAAATTTCTTTGGTTCATAAAAATCCAAAACTTTGGGAAATGTTGACCAGACTCTTTACTTGGGCCATGATTGGTAATATCAGAATAGGCACTGGTCCAAAACCAACCTCAGTTTACAATTTCATGTTTCTGCAGCTAGATTTTTAAACATCTAATAATAATCCCCACTGGGGCTGTGACACCTTCTGTACCTCCTTTGCATTGGCTTCTGTCCCAACCCTGAGGGTAAGCAACATGGGGATTAATACACCCATAAATATTCCATGTACCAGTAAAGAACTGAGGCCTAAGGAGTTGGGGCAGTGTGAAGACCATTCAAGGAGTTAGTAGCAGAGCAAGAATGAGAGAATCCAGAGCTTGTCCTCACGTCCCTTGAGATGCCAGGGATCTGCTGAGTGTGGTCTCTGACTCTCTCTGCTTAGAATGCAAGTTCACACTTCCCTTAGCTTGGCAAACTACAAACTCTGCAGGAGGATTGGGTGGAAAGAATATCACCATGGGGCAAGTCACGGGCTCCAAACCTGGCCTCCACCCCAGCAGTGTGGGTTCTCTGGGCAGGTTTTTCCTACTCTCTRAGCCTCGTCTGTAGTTAAACACAGTGTTCTAAATGAACTGAATGAGTCCTTTCAGCTTGGACACTTTCTGAGACTGTGATTCTCTCATCCAACATGTAAAGATTTGAAAAAAAAAAAAAAATGTCTAACAACTACCTACAGAGAATCTGAAGCCAAGGCCCTTCCCCAAGAAGCTCTGAAACCAGCACAAGCAGCAAATTGCATCTTTTGGAAAACAAACAAAGCAAAGCAAAACAAAATAACATTTTAAGACATGCCAGGCAGAGAAGAATTATGTTCCAGAAATTTCTGGGAGGAAGCTCCAGGGACACATGAGGCTTGTCGCTAGAGAGGGCGAGGGTGTAAGCTTGCCCTTTGCTATAGTGGGTGTTGGAAATCTTTCACCATAAGCAGGAAACCAGAAGTGGCCAGAGCCTGGGCTGCAGGGCTGTACACACGCCAAAGTAACCTCACACGGGGTACGCTTAGCTTCCCGGAAACCACAGAGAACCACAGCTGCTTTGGTAATGAGTCCTAACACAAGCCTCCCATCCCTGGCCATCATAGCCCCAGCCAACTGTCACCTCACACCCACTGCCACTGTGCTTAGGACTCAGGGACCATTCCAGAGGTTCAGGTGGAGCTGGGAGCCAGGAAGAGCCCTGGGAACAGAACCTTGTCCCATGCTCTTCTCCTCTCTAGGTCTTAGTCTGTCATCTAGAAGATGGAGTTAACAATAACTCCTCAAGAGTAGAATGGGACTGCAAATATGCCTGCAGCTGCCACCTGGCTGAGCCTACATCTCAGGCCCTGGGTTCACTCTGCTCTTATACAGTCACATAAATGGCTCATCCCAGACACAGCCTGGAGGCAAGGAGGCTGGGGTAAAGAGACATCTGGGATTTTGCTTCTCCTTGGCCACTTCTGGTTCTGATTTTCTGCTTCCACGAATTGTGAATCGCACCTGTGCACGGGATGTGGCATCTCTGCCCAAATCACAGAACACAGCCACATTGGCCTTGATTTGCCCAGAGTCCCAACGGCAGCTCACATTTGTGTCTAGAACATCCATGAGAGGCAAGGCAGAAGAGTATTCCAGCCCAGCCCAGCCCAGCAAACCATGCAGAGCTGAATGTGAGACCCTCCATTCTGTAAGACCCCAGCTCTCCAGTCACCGGGAATCCTCCAAGAGCAGCTAGCTCCCCTCCTGTCGGCCCAGTCCCCTGCCATGCGGGCTGCACATTCCTTCCCACCTGATTTTATATCCTTCTCCCTATTTCTGCACACCCCCCTTCCTCTCACAAAGTCTACAGAAATTCAAATTCTACTGACTTTATTTTGAAGAACAGTTTTGATGCTTTGGGCTCACCCTTMGGCCTTCTCAGGGTTCTCTGGGTCTTTTCATAGCAAAACACCTCACTACCCAAAGAGTTCTCACCTGCACTAGAGGAATTCTGTAGACAGCCTCCCTGTATTCTCCCACTGCAGCTGTCTGAGGCCCTGATGGAGAAAGTAGTGACATCCATGGTCATCTATGACAGACTAAAATCTGTGCTCATTCACTCCTCGMAAGCCCCCAGGGATAATGATTAGCCCTCTTTTATGTGTAAGGAAATAGGAGCACAGAGAGGGCTACTGAATTAGCCAAGATTTCACAGCAAGCAAGCAGTGGGGCAAGACCTCAAATCCCGCTGAGCCTCRTGCTTGGCCAGGACTGGATGGTGGAATGCCACACCCCACACACCTGCTTCCCAGCTGTTTCTTCTCGTGTGTCTGAAGCATATCCGCTGTTGTTGAGTTCTGGGGCAGAGAGGGCCACTGGGGACATGTGGGTTTGTACAGTGGGGGACTGGGGTGAGTTCATTCTCACTGCCTGTCAGTTGGGAGGGATTTAAGGCCTCTATACCCTGGGGTTCCCCAAAGCCCTAAGGAAATCAAACCGTAGGTAGAACAGATGTGGGTCCTGACCCCTTCAGAGCACCCCTACCCTGGCCTGATGTCTGTCTCCCCCTGGAGACAGGCACCAAGGACAGAGAACTAGACTGGAATCCCTATACTCCCTTCCACTCCCAAGGTGGAAGTAGCTCATTTTCCTCAGAGAGTCGGATTCCCCATTTCTGAAGTGTAGGTGAGGGGACTGAGCCAGGTGACCAAACTCCAGGATGGATTTGGCTTCAAGTATCACCTTCCGTAATCAAAGACACGTCTTGGCCTTCTTTGACCACGTTACTGCGCTGATATTGACAGCATTTACAGGGCTCGGCAAGCTACTCTCCCCCCCTCTCCCCCTGATAAACAGAAAATGTGGACAATAAAAGAGACCAAGAGCGGTTGGCTCCCTAATGAACCACCCCGAAGAARTAAGGGGAATGAACAAGGGAGGCCACCTTCTCCCCAGTACCCAGCTATCCCTGATGCCCTATGGCCAGGGTCCAGGTGGCAGCAGTGCCTCCAGGGTGAGGTGGGGGAGCAGCAGCCTCCTCCTACCCTCCCCTCCTTCACATCGAGGGGCAGT